GAACAGTTGAAGAAAAATATAGAATCTCATGTGAAATTGATAGAGAAATTGAATCAAGAGATAAAACAACTGAAAGAAGAACAGAACGTGAAGCAAACAGAAATCAGTGACACAGAAGTTAAATACGAAATACAAAGACAAAATTTAGAAGAACTGAAAAGCAAAAACCACAAAATGGCTACGAGTATAACGAATCTGCAATCTGAAATAGCAAAACTTGTTTCTGAATCAAGAAGTGGCAAAATGGAAATCGCTGAATTGAATGAAGCACTACAAAGCTATAAAAATGAGCATAAAGCTATAAAAGAAGAAAACCTCTTGCTATTAGAAAAGATGAAAGCACAGAGTACAACCTGTAACCTTCTAGAAGATATGATGGATAGCGCAGATCAAACTGAAAAAGATCGAACTATAAATAATAAAGAAGAAATCATAGCTAAAATGAAAGAGGAGGTAAAAGAACTCAAAGAAATTAATAAAAGTATGACAGTTTCCATAAGTGTGTTGGAAGAGGAGAACAAAAGGCTAGAGAAAGAGTTGAAGGAATTACAAATGGAGTTTGACCGGATTTTAGCAGAACATATTTCATCAGAAAAATCACTGGTTGTAAATGATACAGAATCGAAAACTAAAAAAACTACAAAACTAATCACTAAAAATACGCACAACAAACTAAACGTTAACTCTACCAAAAAACAAGCAAACATCACCAATATTCATGACGCAAACATCATTACTAATATGAATGATGCTTATCCCAGTGATTCTATCGAAGTTGGGTCAACTATAAACTGTAACTTAATCACTAGTTCTCAAAAAAAACAGAAGATATTGTTTTTAACAGACCAGTATGGAAAATATTTGTAACCCTATCTTGAAAGTCACCTTTCAGATAAATTTGACGTACAGATTGTGACCAAACCTAATGCTTTATTCATTGATGTGATAGGGGGGCATGAAGAATCAATTTCCAAAATGTCGAGCTCGGACTATGTTATAGTAATGGCGGGGCTAAATAACAATAACGTGAAACTGAGTGATATCACCCTAATTGCCAATACTTGCTTCTACACCAACCTAATTTTTTGTACCATACCTGCAAAATGTACTGATGGTTTGCCATATTGTCATGTCGACTATGTAAATGGTAAGATAGTAAATGCCGTTTCAAACCTAAGAAAATTTGTTAGCAATATCAATTGTCTTGACCTATCCAACAGATTTCGATACTCTGACTACTCAAAGAATGGCATTTATCTCAATAATAAAGGTCTTACTAAATTGGCGTCGCTCGTGAAAAGTATAATCTGTGCCTTTGGTATGTTACCTTCGCAATCCTTCTTAAAGCCAATCAGTTTGGGCAATTATGATAACTATTCTAAAGATAACACCAGTCAGGTTGATGTTGGGTGCACAAATAAACTAATCCAACAAAATTTTTCCCAAATTCTGGGACCTGCAAACCATCCGTAGTTAATGACAGTACTGATGCAGTTTCACTATTTTATCAAAACTGTCGTGGAGTGAAAACTAAACTTGATATCTTAAGGACTAATCTTTTGGATAGCTGTTATGACGTAGTTGCATTGACGGAAACTTGGCTAAACGATAAAATATTTACATCAGAATTTTGTCCAAAAAACTTGATATCATTTAGAAAAGATAGAAATAGTGTGATAACTTTGAAAAAACAGGGTGGAGGTGTATTTTTGGCTGTAAAAGATAGGTTTAAGGTAGCAGAATTTAATATTTTTGATGAAGAACAAGAGGCGATTTGTATACAACTTAGTTTAGCCAATAATAGGTATTTATATTTAGTTTTAGTTTATATCGTACCTGACAGTCCACTAGACGTGTATGAAATTTTTTTTGAAAGATTGGAATTGGGTTTATTGGGCAGGGCAGATACGGATTTTATTATACTGGGTGATTTCAACGTACCAGGGTTTAACAATGACACCTCGACCAACAATATTGTAAATAATCTAAAGGCATTTCAAGCTTTCAACAATCTTTCTCAATTCAACAGCATACAAAACAACAATGGTGTACTACTGGATCTCGTTTTTGGATCATTTGATTGCTTGGTGGTAGAACAGGCTGAAGAACCGCTGGTAGCAATTGATAGTCACCATCCGTGTTTGGATATTAGACTGTCAATTAAGACTTCTCAAAGCTGTAGACTGGTCCCTACTACCAAATTCAATTTCAAGAAAGCCAATTATCTTCTTATGTATGAGCTGTTTCAGGAACAAGACTGGGATGATTTATGCGATTTCACAAATGCTAATCTGGCAATTGATGCTTTTTATAAAATAATACACAACATATTTGAGAAATGCGTAGCAAAGTCTACACAAAAAAGTAAGAAGTATCCAACTTGGTTCAACAATGAAATAATAAAACTTTTAAAGCAAAAACACACATGCTTTTTGAAATCTCGTAAATACAAGTCTCAGTTTTGGAAAACCAGATATAACGGTTTGAGAACCTTAATCAGGAATAAAATCAAAACAGCCCATGCTGAATACTTGGTGGATGTTGAATCAAGCTTGAAATCTAACCCAAAACTTTTCTGGTCATATCTTAAAAGCTTTAAGGAAAGTCCAGAGATTTCGGATGAAATGGCGTTTGAGAATGAAATATTCTCGGGAACATTCAACATTGTTAACGGCTTTGCAAAATATTTCAAATCTGTGTTTATCAGTAATGATAATATTGCCGATCACACCAATGCAAATAATGCTAAAACATACTTTTGTGATGCAGATCTGTTTTAGACATAAAAAAGGCTTTCAAAAAACTTAAACCAGACAAGTCTATTGGCCATGATGGTATTCCTGCATTTATACTGAAAGGGTACAGTGAATTTTTACTTGTTCCTTTAAAAATCTTGTTTAATCTTATGCTTAAAACCGCCACATTCCCAGAAAAATGGAAACTTAGTAAAGTGATACCTATACACAAAAGTGGTCCTAAACAAGATATTAAAAACTATAGACTCATAACAATAGTGTGTGCAATCTCAAAAATATTTGAAATTGTTATATTTGAATTGCTTTTCAATGAAGTATCACTTAAAATATCTCCCAATCAACATGGTTTCCTACCAAAAAGGTCCACATTTACAAATCTAACAATCTTTACGCAATATATACATGAAGCATTGAATAGGAAAACACAGGTAGATGTTATCTACACTGACTTAGAAAAAGCATTTGATAAAGTAAGTCACAATACTATTTTGGATGGTCTGGAGGCAATGGATGTTCCTCCATACCTGAATAATTTAATTCAATCTTACTTAGGAACAGACTCAAGTAAAAGGTATCAGTTTGTAGAATTAAAAGGTAGTCGGTCTACTCTTTTTGTTAGTTCTTCTGGTGTGCCCCAAGGGTCAAATCTTGGGCCCCTTCTTTTTGTTATTGCTTTCAATAAAATTCTTTGCAAAGTCAAAAATGTGGAATCATTGGCATTTGCCGACGATTTTAAATTATTTATTGAAATCACCTCGATTGAAGATTGCGAAATTCTTCAAAGAGAATTACAAGATTCAGCGAGTTATTGTCAGAAAAATAGCTTTAACTTAAATTTGAACAAATGCTCCTGTCTCAGTTTCAGTCGTAATAAAAACCCAATTGAATTTGACTATACAATAAATAATGAAAAACTAAAACGTGTTTCTGAACAAAAGGATTTGGGTGTAACTTTTGAAGATAATCTTTCATTTTCTTCTCATATTATTTCGAAGATTGAGAGTGCCCAGAGAGTTGCCGGGTTTATCTGTAGAAATACTAAACAGTTCAATATTGATGTCAGCATCCACCTATTTGATAGTCTGGTATTACTGATACTGGAGTATGGTAGTATAATTTGGTCCCCTCAGTATCACATTTGGATAAGTATTATCGAGGGAGTTCAAAGAAAATTTTTGAAGGCTATGCACTTTAGAAAGTACGGATTTTATCCACAAAGAGGTTGTGACAATGACTTCTTGCTAGGTTTATTTAATAGACTGTCTCTAAATCAAAGAAGAACTAAAATATTTCTCGCAACAATGTACAGAATACTAAAAGGTTATGTTGATTCTCCAGAAATAGTCGGTCAACTTCCTTTTGCCATAAATCGTGTCAACTCAAGAACAAAAAATGTTTTTTATTTAGCTTACCCACGGACGAATTTATATAAAAGCTCTCCAATATATAATTTGTGCAATATATTCAATAAATATGCTTCAGATACTGATATTGATAGCACTACCTACAGACAGTTCAAACGAATAATTGACTTAAAATTACGCAATAGTTAGCATGTAAGTTTCGTGTGTACTGTTCGTGTTTAATGTTGGTTTTACTTGCATTTATGTCGTTTACATTTTCACGTTGGATGTTGTAATAGTTAATAATTTGATGACATTTTACAAAACTTTTTATTGACATTTTATATACTTTTAGAATAAGCATAGGTATCTGTAATTGGCTTTTTGGCTGTAGATACTGTTTGAAATAAATAAATAAATAAATAAATAAATAAATTCCAGAAGTTATTTGTCAGAATAGTTTTATATTATCCACCCTTAGATATTTTAGCTAATTATTTACTACCGAAATTGAAATCCCAGAATGCAACAAAAGTCATTATACTTAAATAAGCAAAAAAAGTATGGTGCACTGTGCACAGGTCTGTATTTTTTTTTTAAATTAGGCTTTGGAATTTGGTTTGTGAAAATAACATTTCCCTTCAAGCCATAAACATTTTGATACAAAAATAAATAAAATTTCTTGCAATCTGACCAGAGATAAATTTAAAATAATAATATTTATAGGAAGGTTTATCAGTGGATGATAAGTTTAGCTGTCTGTTATCTATTAATGAATAATTATCAGTTAACCAACAACTAAACAACTGTCCACTGATAAACCGGTCCTTAAAACAGGCAAAATTTGTTATTTTTATGTCCTGTTAATCAATTAAAACTAGTTAACAAAAATTATACTTACTATCTGTCGTCTCCCAACTTAAGCCACCAACAAATAATTTTCTGCAAAACAAAAATGGGGACGTTAATATTGACAGGATTCCTCTAAAATCAATTCCTAAACAACATTGAAAATTACTTTTTAAATTTGACTATTTTTGATCGGCAATCTCAGTGTGAAGTGAAAAGCTACTTTATAATTCAACAAAACAAAAAGGGCGTTTCGAGCGTAATAGCATCCTGGAAAACCTCAAAAAATTTTCGCATATTCTGGTCAATTGTAAGTTAACAAATTTTTCCCAATCAAAAAATTTTATTTGTACCACAACAACAAAAAGAGAACCATCGTCAAAGAGAAGCAGCAAATCAAAGGGACAATTTTCTAAAAATTCTGAAAAAGAAATTTAAACAATAATTATGAAAATAATATACTTACATTGAATTCATTTTAAAATGAACTTGAATATTTATTATAAGTTTTTAATGAAAAATTTCAGTTGAGAATTTTATAGGATTTAGTTGTTAATGATTGTGTGGGTATGAGTTTCTATTTTAATAGCAAAATGTTTGATTCTTGAATCCTATAAACTTCCAGCTGAAACCCAAAATTATAATCCAATCAAACAAAATTTACAAAACACCAGAATAAGCGAAAATCACCAAACAAGAAATCAGAAGTCTAAAACGCCGAAAGCCCTTATAATATAGGAAAAACTTTGTAAAGACTTTTTGGTTGACTGTTTTTGACTTTACTGAATTTTTTTTAGTTTTTGGCAAAAAAAATTGAAGTGCCCAAGGATAAATACCATGGGTCCCAGTGTCTGGAGGCCGGTCCCAGCTCGCCATACAAACTCGTGCACTCTTCCAGCATTTGTAGTTTAGAAGCCACCTGGAGAAAAGGAAGTTTCGTTTAAAATCGCACCCAGCTACTCTAAACCTATAAAGAAAATTGGGGGGGCCCAAACAATTTTTGTGAATTGAATCCCAAAAGGCGGCACACACGTTTGACTTTGACTCTGAACTGAAAATAATTTCATTTTTGTTGAATTTAAACAAAATTTTTTTGAATTGCCCGGCAAATGTGATGGAAGGGGGAAAGGAAACGGCGTCATATCGGTATCCGCCATTTTGTCGGCCATGAGTATTACAAATAAAACATTTTTCATAATTTTATTCAAAATGTTCCTTAAACATAATTCAACCATCAAAAATATCAATTGAAATTTATAAAACACAAACTAATAAACAATTTTAATTACAAATAATGCAATAATGTTACAAATTAACGCCGATGAACCTGGATTTCGGCCAAAATCAATACTTTGAAAATTACCGAAATTATCATTTCTACAACAAAAAAAGTGTAAAAATCACTTACCGGTCGTCATCTTTTCCTGGTTTTTCGGCGGCCCCGCTATCGGCGGGCTGTGAATCGTCGCCTCCATTATTGTGACCATTTTCTTGATTTTGCTGCTGTTGTTGCTGTTCGTTCGAGACGGTAACGTCTTGCGAAAAATCTTCGCCGTTTTCCATCGAAGTTTCTTGACTAGCCATTATTTTATTTTTTGTTTATAAATAAATTTCGTACTTGAGAAAACCGATTACACGTCCACTTTACAAGAACGCCCGGCTGCGAAAAGAACGAAATCGAAAATGGATGGCGATTTATGAGGAGGAAAGGGAAATCGATTAGGGTTTTGACAGGTGTTTTACTACGCGCCACCAATCGGAGACAACGGAAATCAGAAAAAGCAGAAAACTGTATTGTTGATAAAATTTACTCTGGGGCATGGATAGTGTTCAATAAGGACACAATTAGAATACGAGCTCTTTTTCTGACTATTTTGTAAGAATTTAGTAAACGTTCATTGAGGATCTGCGGAGTACCATTAAACTATTTTTAGATTTTACACAACCTTGATCAAACTAAAAACTTTTTTCCTGTGCTTAATTTATTAGAGTAGCTATAGAGTGTGACACTCTCGAACTGGTTCTGAAACAGCTCCGGAACGCATTCCAGTGCTCGTACACTTGAACTGCTTCTTTCTGTTATCCCCTGCCCCTTCAATCGCCGTGCAACAACCTTTATTTTTATTTCGGTGTTTCATGCTCCTTAAGTCCGAAATGGTGGGGGGGGGTTAAGAAAATTGAGGTTATTTTCGTTCGGTTTTCACGATTTCTTAAGCTACGTTTACATTCAATTCAAATTGCAATTGCAATTACTTGACAATTGAACGACTGGTAGTAGAGCATCACACCCCAGACCAAGGCTGGGATCACGGCAATAGACCTTTTGTTTGGACGCCATATTGCGGTGCGCGAACATAGTTGCCAAAAGTAGAAAAAAAATTACCAACTTACTGTCAACATTAAACACAGAAGTTACTGAATAAATTATATTAAAAATTTAAATTTGAATGTTTTTGAAAAGAAAAGCCATGAGCCATCAATTTTAGCTTGTATTGGGCAGAATAGAAATAATAAAATATCTTAACTTTGTTTCACCAGAGTTCATACTTTTGACATAATTTGCCTTCCTTTTTCAACAAATAGAAATTGACTGAAACAAATCAATGACGACAAAAATGTTCGTGGATCTGTGCAGAAGTCATTCATTTTAATTTGTCAAAAAAATTGAAGGCATGTGTCATATGAATTATGGCCATTTCCACCAAACTATAACTAAGCTTTGCTTAACTATGAAGCCCTTACAAGTTAAGGGACACTCAAATATAATTTAGTTCCACCATAGTTTTTAAGTGCAAGCTTAGCTAAGTGCCGTAAAGCTTTGGCAACATTGCATTTCAGGTGAAAGATTTGCGAACTTTTCGTTTTTACACTAGTCGTGTCAATGTTATCTGTCATTCGACGCTTCCCGCTAATTTTTTAAGATTATAAATTATAATTAATAATAGATAGTTGTTGTTGTCCGGGTTCGGTTTATTTCACAGAGAAGAGGTTAAGATATTGGTAATTTATCCTGCATTGTGTGTAAACGAGCACGAAGGTGCCTAGAGCAGCGTCGAGGCGGGGAATACGAACAAACAGGGAGAGTTTATCCAAAAAAAGCCAGACAAACTACACAATAAAGGGAAAAGAGCTGATAATAGAGACTTTTTGCACCTCTTATTTTGTCATTCCGTTGTGGTTATCGTTATACTGAGTATGCGCAGTAGCTAAAAAATGTTCGTTGTACTTATCAACCACAACGAGCGGCGTTATTTAAGGAGGAATAACCTTGTGCTTATAGCTATACCTATGGTTATGGTAAAACTGTGTGGATGCTACATTGAAGAAAAATCCCGTTTTTATAAATAATTAATTAAAATCATCTGAAATTCTGAAAAAATAAGTGTGGATTATCATTTTGATGTTATGAAATTGGTTTACATCTGAAGGCGCAGGCGCAATTCATGGCCCAGAGGCAAAATAGAAATAACGGAAATATGTAAACCCTAGGCGATGCAAAATCTCTGATTTTGAAGGTCGTGGTAATCGTTATCGCCCATAAAGGTAACCATAACTGATCCAAAAACTGCTGTTATTTTAAGGGGTGCAAAAAGTCTCTATTATCGTTAACATCAAAAAATAAGAACATAATCGAAAATAAAAAAAACACGGAGTATCTCTGGCTGAAAAAAATAGGCTTGGGGAGAAAAAAAAACGCGAACTACACCAGAAATTAGAAAATTGACAAAATTCTAATTTTATCTCAATTCAATTTCAACGTTTGTTATGTCAACAAAAACATATTATGCAAATGACTTGCGCAGATCATCGCCACTTTGTTAAGGGAGGAATAAGCCTAGAAATTTCTGGGCTTAGTTAAGCTTGTCTTAATGAGACTAGGTTAGACTGGTGGAAACAAAATTATAATATAAGCGGCACTTAACGTTAAGTAAACTTAAATTTCCGTTGGTGGAAACGGCCATTAATCTACGACAACCCTTTTTTTTTCAAATTTTAAGGTCAAGTATATGAACCCTGGTGAAACGATCTGTACCTATTTACTTGCATCAATCAGAGAGAGAAAGTAAACAAACAAAAAGGATAGCGAGGATTTAGTTACTTTTGTTTTTAATGTTGACAGCCGGCTAGTAATTTTTGTTTTCTTCTTTTGGCAACTATGTTCGCGCACCGCAATATGGCGTCCAAACAAAAGGTCAATTGACCTTTTGTTTGGACGCCATATTGCGGTGCGCGAACATAGTTGCCAAAACAAGAAAACCAAAAATTACTAGCGGGCTGTCAACTAGATATTTTATCATTTCTATTCTGCCCAATACAACCTAAAATTGATGGCTTTTCTTTCCAAAAACATTCGTAATAGGCGGCAAATTTAAATTTCAAATGTAATTTATTCACTAACTTTGGATTTTAAAGTTGACAGAACGCTAGTCATTTTTTTTTCTACTGTTGGCAACTATGTTCGCGCACCGCAATATGGCGTCCAAACAAAAGGTCAATTACAAGAATCGTATACTCTACAGGATTGCTCAATCGGCTAAATTTGTTCACAATTGCTGTGACGTCACGTGCATCCCGGATTTTCAAGATGGCCACTGATACGAATGATGTTCAGTTTGTGCTGACAATTATTTTATCGTAAATTCGGATTTATCAAGTGTTATTAAGTGTAATTTAAAGTTTCATTTAATGTGTGTAAACATAAAAGACTCGTGGCTGAAAATACTCGCGAAAACCTATGGCGAAAACCCCAAACATTTTCTGGTTTTAGTGGTTTTATAATACTGGATTTGTTGTATCAGGACATCGCTTTCTTTTATTCGTGTGTATTGCTAGTTTTCTACTGTTAGTATTTCCTAGTCAAGCATTTGTATTGCTTTTTTTTGTAAATCAAATTTCTACTTAGTTGTAAGTTTCCTTTGCATGTAATTACTAAAAATTAGTGTTGGTGGAGAGTGAATAAATAAATATGTAAATAAATTACTCTACTGGCGCGTTTACTATGAAAACGCATGGAAAATATGGGAAACTTGCAGTGTTTTTCTGGAATATGATTATGAAAATCTAAATTAGGTATCACTTTGGATTTGTGGAATAAGCTTACTCTGAATGTCCATATTAAATCGTCAAACTATTGAATAATAATTGAGAAGTAGGTAAGGACAGTAAAAAATAAATCACACTATTTCAACCACGTTTCGCTTATATTTTGATATTGAAATGCAAAAATTAAGCCCGCTCGCTCAAGTTGGCACCCCACATTTGGCTTTCTAGCCTTTCTACTGTTTCTCAATTGTGCCCGTTTTGTGCTCAATTGTGCCAGTATTTATGCGAATTGTGCTCATTTCCATACACAAAAAAAAACATTGAAACAAATTCGAGGGCCAGCTTGACACAAGTCCTTTGTTTTTTTGACTTTTTGGCAATATGTTTGGCTAATTGATAAACAAAAGCAAACAAACTCGTCTTCTTAATTAGCCAACCACTCAAGACTCAAGGACACAAACTTTTGAAGTCTGCTAATTTTAAAATTAATAAATATAATTACAAAATACAGTTTTCTAAGGAGATAACCTCAAAATAACAATTTTTCACGTTTGGAAATGCAGGATAGTGCACTGTCATAAAACACAAACCGATCAAGGACTGCGTGACGTCATTCGCATACCGCCATCTTCGACGTTTTTATGAACGTTTGTCTTATGGGATTGAGCAATCCTGTAGAGTTTACGATTCTTGGGTCAATTAGGCAATCTACTGACCTGTCAAAATCGAAATTCAATATGGAAGTTCGGGTCAAGCATTGGATCAAGCACTGTGTTGTTTATTCTATATGTCATTGATTCTGTCACATTCTGGACAAACGTCAAGATGTGATTTATCGGATCTTATGTTTTTTTGTGTGTTTAGGTATTGTGTTAATTAAAATGCCAGCGATTTGCATCGTAATTGACCTTTTGTTTCGACGCCATATTGCGGTGCGCGAACATAGTTGCCAAAACAAGAAAACCAAAAATTACTAGTGGGCTGTCAACTAGATATTTTATTATTTCTATTCTGCCCAATACAACCTTAAATTGATGGCTTTTCTTTCCAAAAACATTCGTAATAGGCGGCAAATTTAAATTTTAAATGTAATTTATTCACTAATTTTGGATTTTAAAGTTGACAGAACGCTAGTAATTTTTTTTTCTACTGTTGGCAACTATGTTCGCGCACCGCAATATGGCGTCCAAACAAAAGGTCAATTGGGTGTGGAAGTTGAGGTAACAGGGCTAATGTGAAATTTTATTCAGTTCCTGCTATTTTAAATCATCGGCTTTTGATCTACAAAAGTGAATTATCAAAACAACGCAGGGCTTTATGGATTGCTGCAATTAAAAGAAAGGATCTAACAGAGGCAGAGGCTCGATTTTCCCCTAATAATACCTTAAGATATTCATTCTCCATCTCAGAATTTATTATTAAATTAAAAAAATACGTAGAAACATTATAAACACTATAAAATTCACTTTGTAAACAAGGGCCAGAACACTAAAAAATACGTAGACATACTAAAAACTATAAAATTCACTATGAAAACAACAATATGACCAAAACCAATGAAAAATACGTAGAAATACATAAAATTCACTTCGAAAGCAACAAGGGCCACAACACAAATGCTCTCCTTATAAACGTCACCGGCTTGTCACCGCAATATTTGACCCGAACGGCCATTATAAAATCACGTGATTGAGATTGCCTAATA